GAACTAATGAACTCCACGTAGCAGCACGAATAGAAGGATACAAGTACCATGAACCTATTTTTTTGTTTTGTTTTGTTTTAAGTTTGAAAACAGACAAAATTAAACAGCATGTTGTTTGGGGATGTGGACAGGGAGGAAGGAATTGAAGCAGCTGGCCTGTGACCCTTTCTTTCCCATTCAAGGAGATGTTCTAGAGAAAGAAACAAAGCAAGTGGGCCCATCTCATCTCATCTCTTGTAATGAGACTACCTATACACCTATGAGATTCACTAAACATGAGCATTCTCCTGCCTCTCAGTGCCCTTAGCAGGATGCCCCTTGCGAAGGATTACCCACAGTAAATACAGATTTTGTAGATTTATGAGTCATGGCTCTGAACTATGTAGTAGAGATGTTTCATAACTAGGTACTACTCACTAGAGGAGGTGACTTATGAATCCCACTTAGAGACCTCACCTATTGTTCTGGGTCTTGCCCAACATCAAGGATAGACCGGGAGAAGTCACAGGGATTTTCCAGGCCTTTCTGGAAATGCCTCTGCACGCATGTAACCTGTAATCCCAAAGTTGCTACCTTGGATAGAGAGGGAGCAGGAGCTTCAATTTGTCAATGCTGGTATGATTATCTGATTCCTACCTAGGTTCATAAAATAAGCAATTTTCAGGTAAAACTGCTTTTTTTTTATAAAGTTGTTTTTTAGTTATAAAGAAAAGCTACCCAAAGGATATAGAAACACTGTTTCAAAAAGATACCTGCACTCCTATGTTTATCACAGCACTATTCAAAATAGGTAAAATATAGGAACAACCCAAATGCCCCAAAATCGATGCCTGTATCAAGAAGATGTGGTTTATATATACAATGGAATACTATTCAACAATCAAAAAGAAACTCGCCATTCACAGCAACATGGATGGAGCTAGAAGGGATCATGCTCAGTGAAATAAGCCAGAAGCAAAAAGAAAAACATCAAATGGTTTCACTTACAGGAGGAATATAGGGGAATCAAATAAGGGATCAGGGAAAAAATAACAATAAAAAAAAACACTAAAATTTGCAGGCAACCATAAATCAAAGACATTCTGAGAGGGAGCGGGGAGGAAAAGGGATCAAAACAGGGGAGAGAAGAGCATGAGAGGCTACCGTGATCATTCACAGGTGAACTCGTGGTGGGAGTTTTATGGGGAATACACAATCACGTAAAAGATACAGAAAAAAAAATTATATTTATATAAGGGAATAGTATTGGCGCCAAAGGGTAGGAGAAGAAACATTCCTAAGTTACCAACAATTTTCTGGTTCTTACAGCTTCTACTGGTCCTTTTGTCAAGCGAGGCTCAGCAGGAGGAGAGGCCCAGAACAAGGGAACACCGAGCTGGGTGGCTGTAGGGAACCCCCACATCTGACAGCAGATACTGTCAAGCAGCTCTGATTTTTCCTAATAGAAAGATAAGTGTGGGGCCCTCCCTGGTGGTGCAGCGGGTTAAAGCACTGCACTAGGAAGCTTAAGCCACTTCCTCATGAGTTCGATCTCCGCCTGCCCCGGAGGAGACCACATGGGGTGGCAGACCTCTCCTGGCCCGCCCGTTGCTCCTCTCAGCAGTGTATTTTGTCTATCTGCCTGTTCTGCTCCCCACTCTGTCTCTGGTGAATCCTCTCACCCTCTGCATCTCTGGCCTGTACCCCAGTTCTGTATGAATAAATAAATAAATCTTTAAAAAAAAAAAAAGAAGAAAGATAAGTGTGTTCTGTTCCTCAACTTGCCACTGTGATGTCAGTACTCGTAAGAAGTAGTGACTTATGTGTCAGTCTCTTCACTTCTACGCAGAGAATAGCACCAGGGAGCCATTTATCCCCACTAGGAATTTAGCTGTATACAAAAATTTATGAGTGAAGCTGCTCATTTAAACGTGACAGCATTTATAAATGAAAAAATCTTAGAAATAATCCAAGTCTGATAAACTGGGACAAATTATACACAAAAAAGGTCCATGCATATAGAACCTTGTATTTCTAGTAAGATTTAAGTTCTTGAAGATATAATGGCACAAGAAATGGTTTCCACGTGTCAGCAAATAAAAACTTAGAATATGCTATTTATACAAGCTATTATCTCTATGTGTTACACTTATGTAGAAGAAAAATACCCTGAGTGATATTTTTTTCTCATGCTTTTTGGCATTTCCCAATGGTGCTTCAATGTTTATATATTATTTTTTATAAGGAGGTGAGAGTTAAAAATACCTATCGCTATGAATAGAATTTTTAGGTCAGAAGTAAAATAGTACAACTCAGAGTGAGAAAGTATGCATCACAATCTGTAACTGACAAGGATTTTGTATTCAAAATACACAAAGAATTCTTACAACTCAATAGTAACACAACAGCACAAATGAAAAATGGACAAAGGATCTAAATAGACATTTCTCCACAAAATTTATGCAAGTGACCAACAGGCGCCTGAACAGATACTCAACATCATTAGTCACCACAGAGATGCAAATCAAAACCACAAGTGTAGCACTTCACACCCACTGGGATGACTATAATTTTAAAAGATGAACAATAGCAAACATTGAGGAGGTAGAAGAGAATTTGAAACTCATCACACTGCTGGTGGGAGTGTCAAATGGTGTAGCCACTTTAGAAAATAGTCTGACAGTTCCTCAAACGACCAAACAAAGAGTACATAGGCCCAACAATCTCACTCCTAAGCTTATTCTTGAAGACAACTGAAAATAACACATCCACATAGGAACTTGACAGATATATTTATAGCTGCACTGTTCATAGTAGCTGAAAGATGGAAATAACCCAAATGTCCATCAACTGATGAACGGATAAACAAAATGTGGCATCTCCAACAGTGGAATTTGGGGAGACACGAATAGGAACAAAGCAGTGATACATGCTGCATCATGAATGAATCTTGAAAATATGCTAAGTGAAAGCTGGTCACAAAGAACACATGTTGTAACATATGGCCTGGAGACTATCAGTAACATCGTCTTGCAAATTTGGAAGTTGCTGAGAAAATGTGGTAAATAGACTTACTGTGGCTATCATTTGGTAATGTATACAAATGTGAAATCATTATATTGTACCCATGAAACTAAAATAACACTGTATGTCAATTAAATGCCAAAACAAAAAACCCACATAGTGTGTGGGTCAATTTGCATGTGCTGTCTAGAGTGGGCAAATTCATCAGAGAGAGTTGTAGGGACATAGACATGGAGGTAGGGAGAAATGGATATGGGATTTCTTTTTGGAGAGATGAAAATATTCCGGAATATGAGAGTGGTGATAGTAACACAATATTGCCACATACGGAAAGTTACTATGATGCAATTTAAAATGGTTAATTAAAATAAAATAAATAAAATGGCTAATTTTTGTGGTATGTAAATGATATTTGGGGCAAAAACTTGGAACAAAAATTGGAGGGTTATGAGGGCCCCAAAAACTCTTTTAATGATACTTTTTCAGGAATGCCACTGTTAGTAAGTCCTCATAGCATGGTTCACTCTTATTTTGAGCCAACTTGGCCTAAAAGAATAGGCTTTCCTGTTTGAGGTCACATCCTCTAAGAGGAAATATGTCTCGACAGTCTAACCCCCATTGGCCATGCGAAAAAACTGGACAATGAGGATGTGCTGTGCCCTTCATCCAGAGTGCAGACAACAGTCCCCCAAGATAATTAACTTTAATAAACGTCGGCATGTCACCTAAAATGTGAACTCACGTCAATAGGCTGCAGAGCCATGATGCGGACCTCAAAGCAGGCCCGGCCATGTGGATGTGTGACTGTGCGCTGGTACAGAGCACCCTGCCCCTGTGGCGAGGCCTTAGTTCATGCTTTGCTGCCACCACCTTGACATTCTTACTGTTTTTAGACTTGTATTCTGGAAAGTGAAGCCTCATGCAACAGTGGACACACATAAGCAGAGGACATGCATGTCTTTCCTTCTTTGCCGTCCATGAGCACATGTGAGAGTCCAGTGGACTCAGGGTGGGTACGAGGTCAGCACGTTACCCGCTCCCCAAGTCAGCAGGGGCACTGGCAGTTCTGGAGTCAACACCTTCGGTGCAAACCAGATCATGCTGTGAATGAGGGCTACCCACGGAGGGCTACCATCCTTTCCCTCCTGTGCTCCTTTCCTGTACTAGTCAGCCACGTATGCTGAACAATCACAGAGAAAACAAATTAAAAGATGGGGCAGCTATGGTTCTTTTTCCTTCTGGTACTTCCTTAGTTCATCAGTAGGCTGAAGGTAGGATACTGACACATGGCACATTTATCAAGAAGTAAAATAAAGGAGTTGGTTTTTTCTGTGCTTACACTGTTCAAGAACGAAATGTATACACGTGGAAGGGCGATGACTACAAATTGCATGCAAGTTAAAATGTTCTTAGATCTGTATTTTAAACTGTATTTAAAGTAATCTAAACAGTAAAATTCATGCTAAAACGTTTCAATTTTTATTTTCCTTGGACTGACATCAAATAATAAAAAAACACATAGAAAGATGAGAAAGACTATAGAAGAAATTAAAACGTTGTTTCGTCTCTTTAATAGCATTTTTTCCCTGTTTTTTCGTTTTGCGCTGGGGCCTACAGATAACGTATGGCTGAAGTTCTATCTTGTTAGGTATAAAAATATGTAAAAAGCCATCTGCCTCTCCCTTCTTCCTACCCTGAATGACAGTGCTGATGAAAAAACTGCATGTCCTTTAAAATAACTAGTAAGTAAATAACATAGCCACCAAATTTTGCATAGATCAGGAAATGCAGCAAAATCATCTGAAAGCTTAAGCACAAGATCGCAGGTCTGATTTAGCAGGTCTGGGGGGAGGTCTGAGAATCTGCATTTCAAATCAGCTCACCATGATGCAGAGGCTACTCCCCAGTACTCAGAACCCCTGGTCCAGAATATGCTTGGCCTCGAGTCCTGACGTTCACTGAGGCTGTACAACGCCTTCCAATAGTCGTGCTGTTACCTCATAAATGTTCAGCTGCTCCACCAAGTCCAGGTCAGTCCCTTTCTTGTTCAAGTGCCTCTCGGACACGGCTGCGATGCCCAGCTCCTCCAGGCAGTCCACCACATCGTAGAAGCTGTCCTGGTCCGGCAATCCTGACAACGTCTAGAGGGAAAAAACAAAGGACTCAGACATTTGCTGGGTGGGCCTAATCAGGTGAACCCTTTCAAAGAGGGCCTAGGCCTCCTGTGAGTTCAGACTAGCAGAGAGGCTGCCTTGCCAGTTGCCTAAGCAGCAGCAAAACACCAGGTGTCCAGGAGCCACTAGTCAATGAACTCTGCTACCCAGCTCCAAGCTCAGAGACACCCCAACCCTGGTGGAGAGCCCCTGAGCAGGGGACAGAGGCAGGCGGGGCCTGGGTGACTGGACCCTGCCCATGGAATCTGTGAGCTGAGAAATCTGTAAATTTGACGTAATCTGTGATAAGGTAATAGAAAACTAACCCAGTCAGTGGTTAGAAACCTCTGTTAAGTCAACCTACCAACAGCAGGAGCCAAAACAACCACTCTCTTTTCTTTCAATTCTCAAGGCCTTTCCCTGGGTCTATGAAATTTAGGAAAACTCAAGAAATTTCAAAGCAGCAACCAAGAGACAAGAAAAGAATCCTAGAAAGCAAAGGCTGATTTCTGCCTCTCTGACAAGAAACCTGGTTGCTCAGGTCAGGCTGACTGAACCCCTGTGATAAAGCCCCGTAACAGCCACTGTCCCTTCTGTCCTCACACCCCTGAGTCTCGACACACATCACCTTGGCCTTGAATTTCAGACACAGGTTTTACCCCTTTCTTTCTTTCTTTTTAAAGATTTATTTATTCATACTGAACTGGGGTACAGGCCAGAGATGCAGAGGGTGAGAGGATTCACCAGGGACAGAGTGGGGAGCAGAACAGACAGATCGACAAAGTACACTGTTGAGGGGGGCAGCGGGCGGGTCAGGAGAGGTCTGCCATGCCCATGTGGATCTCCTCCAGGGCAGGCAGGGATGGAAGTCATGCGGAAGTGGCTTAAGCTTCTTAGTGCAGTGCTTTAACCCGCTGCACCAGCAGGGAGGGCCAATTTTTTACCCCTTTCTTATTTCCCTTCCTTTTGCAATTCTCAATACCCCAGACCTACTTCAAAATGATTCTAAACATGGTGACTTGCCTGGAAGAAAAAAAGGCAAAGCTTCATAAAAACCTTCTCACAGCAACTTCTCTGACACTTCTATTTTGGGTGATTAATATTGGAAAGAATGTCTTTATTCATGTCTTTTTTTCCTTTCAGTGTTGCATGAAGAGGACACAACTCACTGCAGTTGTGGTAAGAACAAAGAAAAAGAACTGGGATGCTGGACTTCATTTCATCAGGGCCCAGGAAGGTGACAGAGCATAGGCTGGGAATCCATAATGCACTAACAAACAGATGCTCACACCAATAGGCCTCTGAAAGCGGGTGTGGGCATGAAGGTGACAACCACCCCCGAAGTGTGCCCTGGCACCCAACACTGACAAGAGTGTGTGCTCAAAGAATCCCGTCATCAAGGCTACATCATCTCTGGGTTTAATGAAAACACTAAACTCATTAAAAGAGGAAGAGAGAAGAAATAGTGGCACAGGCTTGGGCAGGGCCGAGGATGGCAGGTGCCGGCAATCCCAACACACGGCGGACTCTGCCAGAAGCACAATCTGAGGAATGCAGGCAAGTTGGCATTTAGTGTTAGAATGAGAAATTTCCACACCACGGTGGAAGAGGCACACACAGTGAGGCCTTGGGCTGGCTCCTCACCTCTCCCTCCCACCCTTCGACTTCCTTTTTCTCCCTGCTGAGATGCAGCTGAGGTTCTTTCTCTCAGAAGTTTCTAGGAGGTTAAATTCCCGGACCTAATCCCCATGGCCTTAGCAGCCCCACCAGGACATGCAGAGGGATTACTCCAAAATCATTAAACAATTAGGTCTACACAACACCACAGGCACAGGGAGCCCTGGCTCAGTAATAAACCCAGGACGGATGGTATGAACAGGTCATTTGTCATTTCCACTGTGAGAACCTGGGCTCCAGCCAAGTCTGCATACCATCACCTTTCCTGTGTGACCGCAGGGGCGATGGGCTTCCGCCACCGCCACAAACCCAGCTCCTTGGTCTGCCCAACGAGAGGCGTGTACAACTGAGAAACACATATTCATCTATTTTCAGCTGGTTCTCACACGCTCTGCAAATCTTGCCAGGCCCCCACCTCTCCACAGGCCCTGTCCTCCCATTTTGACTCTGATGCCGCACTACCAAGTTGCCTCCGTCTGCAAAGGTGGCAGGTCCTCTACAAAAGGCTATAAAGGGGATGTTTCTTGCCACCCTCACTCTCAAGATGCTGAAGGTACAGCCACCTGGCACCTGGTGCCTGGTCTCCCTTGTTTCCTCTCAAACCTTGTCCTATAAACGCTGCAACAAGTAAATCTTTACAGCCTCTCCCAGGGGGAGACACTTCTACCCTAATGGATATTTTAGTTTCCTTACTTTGGGGGTCTTACTGATTCCACCAAATCTTTCTTGTAGCAAAGTCTGTACACAAGTGTCCATAGCAACCTTATTTGTGAGTGCAATAGTGATAAATACCCACATCTCCTTCAAGGGGTAGACAAATGAACGAATCACGGAAGAGCCATAGAGTGGAATATTACACAGCAGCAGAAAGGAATAAACTAAGGCAGACACACAGCAACACAGCTGATCTCAAAGACATATGCTGAGTGGGAGAAACTTGCCTCTCCTGTGTGATTCCAGTCGACATCTCTGAGATGACAAAACTGCTAGAGAACAAGTGGTTGCCAGGGGAATGGAAGAGGGATGAGGATGTAACTATAAAAGGATAACATGGAGAGCCAGTCTGCACTGGGACAGTTCTCCATAATTACATACGAGTTTAAATGCATACAGCTACATATCCGATTATTTAGAAAATAATAGGAAAATAGCAGGAAATGTAAAAACAGAAACAAACACCAAACTCCCTTATTACTGTCAGAGGAAGATCCCCTCTCCCTTGGCTGCCCGGGACTCTCCTCCTAGATTGCTCTAAGCCAGCTCCACGTACCCGCCCATCAGCCTCATCCTATTCTGCAAGGTGGTCAGTCTGAGCTTTCCAAAAGAGGGGACTCCCACTGGCCCGGGGTAGGTCAGGGCAAGGTATTCTAGAGCTTCAGCGGGCAGAAACCACCCCCGACCATGTCTGCCTCTATTTAACAAAGAGGACAGATTTCAATCTCAGAAACATAAACATAAACATACTAGAGCATTTAGGAGCTTTGCTTCATTCATCACAAAAATGTTAATTTTTTGCATTTGCTATTAGATATTCTTTTGTTGAAAGAAAAATCAGTAAAACAATATAATAATTTCCCAGGTTTCAGAGTCTGATTTTTCTCCCAGGCCTACATTAACATTTCAATTTATTCTCTGGTTTATATCAGATGGTTTTACTCACTGGAGCAATAAACACAATTCAAATTCAACAAAAGAAAATAAACCCAGTGTGGGTTCTGAAGGAAAGGATGACACGTGGAATAACGTCTTTGGAATCTGCCTGGGCCAGAACTAACAAAAGAGGGGACAGAACTGCCAGAAGAGAAAGGGTCAGTGAGGAATTCCTGGGCTCTTGGAGCCCCCTGCCCCCAGAGAGAGAGGGGTGCCCTGGGTCCCCGCCAGCAGCCGGAGGCAGGATGCCCAGGCCACGCCAGGCTGCTGGGATTGCTGGGCCACCAGACACAGCCTCCACTAATGAAATGGGCAGCGTTACAATGGAAAACACTATGGGACTGCAAATCCTATTCTTGATGGATTCAGTGTTTGCCAAAACAAATGTCAGGGACTGAGAATGACAGGAAATAGGTGACTTAAATCTTAAAGAAAAAAAAAAAAGCAAACAGAAAATTGCTTTAAAATTCCATCGTAAGATAAAGCCACAAATTTGACAAAAGCGCTAATTTCAGGATGATCCTATTCCCCATAGGACAATGGTAGTGTGTCCCGTGTCCTCATTCACAAACGGAGTTTCATTGAAAAGCTATGTCTGCCAAGCCTTGGGATAAAGGTCTTGTTGGTTTACTATGCATTTCTTTTCACCTTGATAGGTTTAATATCACTCATTTCCTTCCTGGTTCTTAATATATCTGGAATGGCATTTTCTGCAATTTTCCCTGTTTGTCACTTGTTTTTAGCTAGTATTTATGATTTTTCACTTCACAAATAAGATCTTTTATTGTTGTAGGCATTGAAATATTTAAGTTCTTGACACTGAAATCTTTTTACTGGCTTTGTCATTAAATACCCTTCACCAACTAGAGACCAATTAATCTTCTGATTTCTTCTCAATATCCTATGGCTCAATGTGTTACACTGAATTCTTTAGCCAGGATTTATTTTGGAATATGGCTAAAGAATGTTTATTTCCATGTAATAAAGCCTCCCCTAATCATGAATGATGCTAACCCATCCCCACTGATTTCCATTGCATCACAGGCCAAGTTGTTCTAGACCCTTGGGTCTGTTTTAGAGTGACTCTGTTTCCATCACTTCAGCTGAGGAAAGGGCCAGCACCCCATTATTTGAATCCAGAGGCTTTGCACAACATTTTTTTTCATTTATATTTATTATTTCTTAATAATGTAATAGTTTATTTTTACATTAGGCTTTGCACAACACTTTAATATCTACTCAAAGTTACTACTCATAATTATGTTGCTTTCTATTAACTTGTCCCCTGTTCATCAGAGCAAGTGTTGTCACAGTTAGACTCAGGAATTGCTTCTGGGTTTTTTCTGAAGCCCTAACTACGCCCCACCTTCTGCAATAGGTTTCAGTTGCTGCAGGCAGTTAAACAGCCTGCAGAGCACAAAAGCTGGCCACAGGGGTGATGTGGCACCTGGGGTCTCAGGCACAGCTGGGCAGGAGATACCCATCCCCCCAACCTCAGCGACTGAGGAAGGTGAGGCTCTGCAGTGAAGAGCCAGAGTCAGCCTGGGGTCCATCATCAGAGTACCCTGCTGGGCACAGACTCTGAAGACTGCTACTGTCTGCGCGAAGGTGACCAGGGAGTGATGCAGTAGGACAGATGGGGACACAAGGAAGAGCCACCACGATGAGTACAGGCCCCTAGGAATCCTCCTCTCACCCCTGAGCAGTCAGAATTCAGAAGCGTACCTCCATTTCTCCCTGACTTGTGAACTATTTCTTTAGGGGAACACTTGCCAATTAATATTCTTAAGGCAAAAATGTTTTAAGGGGACGTCTTGATGGAAAAGCAATCCTGAAGCCCTGTCATGTTTCTGGTTTTATTTATAGAAAGCCAAAGTGCAGCCAGCCTACAGCTGCCCAGGGCCCACATGTGGCACGGTACGTGGACGTGCCAGTGGGCAGCAAGGGCTGCTCGTGTGCACGCTGCCGCCTTGCTGTGCTGCTGAGCCAGGGTCGATGTGATGCAACTCTTATCCAGATGGCAGACTCCAGATTTGAACATATTAGTTCTCAAGGGTTACCCTAACGAATGCCTAGAAGGGTGGCTTTAAACACAGAAATGTAATCTTCCTGAGTTTGAGGGATGAGAAGCCTGATACCAAGGTGTCATCAGGACAGGCCCTTCATGGCCACAGCCTGATGCTGGGTTAGGGCTGCTTGACTGCAATCCCACTGTGCACAGCATCTTCCCTCGACATGTGTCTTGTTCTCTTTGCCTACGGACACCAGACCTCTTGTATCAGGACCCACACTAATGACACCATCTTAACATGGTTACAGCTCAGTGGCTCTGTTGTCAAGAAAGGACACATTCACAGGTACCAGAGGTTAGAAAAGCATCTTTGGGGATGCAGGGAGGGACAACATTCCACCCATAACAAACACCAACCAACCTTATTCACTAAAGTCATTGCATAAACCAGCAGCTCCGTGTCAACGCCATCTTTTTCCTCCAGGATTTCCATGATATTTGACCAGGGCTTGACTCCTATGAGCAAAGCAAAAAATCATTAGAAACAGCAATCCACCACTCCTTATCCAGCTCACATCACAGCGTATCTGAAGGACTGTCACCCAATAATGGTAATGTTTTCAGTCACTGAATTCCAAAATTTAACACTGGCCTTAGGGTGGAATTGAAAATGCTTTTAATTAGGAAAAAATATATGCTGTCATCCTTGTTACTTGCAAACATATACTCTTCAGTGTCAGGCAGACTCTTTCCTTGAAAAGCCAACTTCATATAGAACATGTAATTTTAAAAAATCCACTCATGTGCAGCTTTTTAGGCCATGTATTTCCCTCCCTGAGTGTGCCACGAGCTTGCTCTGCCACAGTTCCTGCAAGGGACAGCAGGACATCTGGGCACTCATTGCAGCAGTCCACTCTGAGCTATAACAGCGAAAGGTCCATGAAGCAAACGTTTCAGAAATTAGATTATCTCTATTCAGTTAAAGCATAAATGCTGTTTAAGAGAAGAGTCTAGTGGAAGGCTGCCCTCATGAAATTCATAATCTATTGGGTAAATTAGACAGAAGCACAAGAACACAGATAACTCAAAGTAAAAAGCACTTAAAAAGCAAAAGCTCACAGCTAAACCTGTCACTCAGTGAGGACGGGTAGCTGTGGAGAGCTTGCTGACAAATGGTGGCGACTAAATGGGGCTCTGCAGGTGAAGGCTCATGGGTGGTGAACCCTGGCTCCAGGGGACAGCAGGAAAACCCTTCACATTCAGGCCTGCCCAACCAACGCCACAGAGGCTTTGATGTACTGACACAATTTCCGGTGCCTGAGAAAAATAGTTTAAGTATTTGTAAGTATTCCCTTAACCTTTGCATGGTGGTGTGAAACAAAGCTTTTTCTTGTCTTTTCTGTGAAGATCTCAAAGGGGTAGTGCTTATTTTTGTGATAAAAGTAAATTCTGAAACTACCACCTGTAACTACAAAATGCTGGTTCTGGGTGGGCCTGTCAGAGCTGATTTCCTGGTCTTGAGATAAAATCTCCCCCTGGGCATCGATGGTATTGGCCTTATCTCCATGTTCTTAGATCAGCACCTGGCACTTAGTGCCCAGTGAGATGCCAAGTGGGGGAGACAGGAGAACTAAAAGAAGTAGACACCTATTGCACAGTGTAAGATGTTTGATGTAAAAATTCCTTGACACTATTTGCAAGAGCAGATGGGTTGGGTGAGAAATTGGCAGTGTGTCTAACCCTTTCTAGCTGTGAACCCAAAGTATGATCCTCTACCTGTTAACTGCTGACCTATCTTCTTGCTGATATTTATCACCGTACTATTTTGTCTTCAAACTGCAGAAATGGAATCACTTTTCCCTGAAGACAGTTAATCAATGTGGTGCAGAGGTCTTGGTTCTCAGTGTGCAGGCGCAGCTCAAAACCTGTTTGTGTGTATGAGGGAGCTTCAATCACTCCCAGCACCCAGCTCAGCTTACTGCACATGTTTCAATGGGCTGCCTACATTTGGCTAAAAGGAAGACTGAGTGGAAGAGAAAATGAAGATTGCCAGTGGTGCTAGTGGGTCTAGAACTGCTTCTTGGTTGCTCACTTTGGAGCTAAAGATGCAAAGCAGGACTTAGGGAAGGAAAGGCCTCGAAATAAGGCGGGAATCTTCGAGAAAGGAAAGCAGCAAAACTAGTCCACCAGCCCCCATTCTCTCAGGCAGACACAAGCATATGAGTGCACGTTTTGATTCTTCAAATGAAAACACTGAATCACTGTCTGAATTTCATTGAAAAACATGAATTTCCTTTTTACTTTCCTTCTAGGTCTCTGCATTAAACTCAACAGAAACAGAGCACGCACAGTGATTTGGACATGAGCGTAGTCTAATGTTCAAACAGAAGGTCATGGCAGACTTTTCCATGTCCTTCAACACTTAGCACAGATCCTTCTGTTATAAATGATCATGGACATGGAGCTTGTGTTCTATCAGCCTCTAACTCCCACCATGCTTTGTGGGAACTTGCACATGCTCATATACTATTAGGATGAATGTTCAATTTTTTATTTTAGGACCAGAAAATAGGAAATATTTAGAAGTGTGAAGGTGAAGGTAGGAAACAGTTGGGTTTTACATAATTAGCCTTGGCAGGACTCAAGCTGACCTATATTAAGCACCAGAAGTTGCTAGCTTTCCCAGGGGTACTTCCTAGCAGAGCTAAGTGTCCAGTTCACAACCCATCACAAGACCCCCTCCACCTCCACCACTACTTGCTCCATATAGTGCTTATGTATGTATGGGGGGAGGGGGCTCTGTATTAGAGTAAAATGCCATTATGTTCTTCTCCTTTCACATAAGTGACAGAAACTGCCCCTTAACTTAGCAGAATGAACAGAGCTTAGGCGGTGTACAAAAACTGGAGTGAACATATCCACCTACAGGATGATAGTGTCAGTAAAATAAAACACTTTTCCCTGGAACAGATGGTGTACATTTCCTTTGGCTACATGCATTAGGGGTGCTTTCAAAGACCACAGTTCATTTAATCACTATCATCTGTCTGTCTCCATCTCCATGCCTACCCATCTCCAAGCAGTAGAGTAGAAGGTTCACAAGATTCTTTTTTTGCCTCTGAAGTTTGCAAGCACATAATTGGTGCTTAAATATTTGTCAGATAAATTAGCTCTATATGAATAATGATTAATATGGCCTCCATTATAGGGAAGGCACTGGAATATCAGTCACTGTGATGGTAATGGTAATTGTTAGTGGTGATGACACCCACGCTTACCCACAGAACTTCTTCTTTAGCTCCCACCAAACCACAGTGTCACCCGGAGTAAATAGCACAGAATAAATTGTTCACAACTTTCTCCTTTCTTACTTTCCTCCTAGGTCTCTGCATTAAACTCAACAGAAACTGAGCGCGCACAGTGATTTGGACATGAGCGTAGTCTAATGTTCAAACAGAAGGTCATGGCAGACTTTTCCATGTCCTTCAACACTTAACACAGATCCTTCTGTTATAAATGATCATGGACATGGAGCTTGTGTTCTGTCAGCCTCTAACTCCCACCATGCTTTGTGCATTACTTACAGATCAATATGTTCTTGAGTCAGGGACAAGATTGCCTAAAGGCTGGCTAGATATATTCTCTGGTTAATCATGTGTGATACACATGTTTGAGAATTATGTCATATCTCATCACCTCATATTCAAACGAAAAGTGCAACTTCTTCAAAAGAAGTGCTGAATTATATTAGTGGGATTCAAGATTTATGACTGCAATTTCAAAATAAGTTACCCAAGTCTGGACACTTGCCCCACCCTGTGTCTGAGAGACAGACCCACCCAGTCAGAAAGAAGGACGTTGCGTCCAAGGGGCAAAGGGTTTGCAAGCAGTTTCCTGTGAAAACACACAGGGAAGGTCTCAGGGAAAGGACACCTTTGGCGAAACGACAAAGCAAAGCCCTCTTTGCTTCTGTAAATGTTCACTGTCTTCCTCTCTTCCTGCCTGGTAGGATGTAACCTAAAGATGTAAGCAGAAGAGACAAGGGTCCAGCTGTCTGAGCAGACAGAGGTACGCTGTGCCAACCCCGGAGACTCACTCAAGCCCTACTTTTCATTCAGCCGCTGAGCAGAAGTGACAGTTGCCTCGATCAAATGGGGCATTCTTTTTCATTCATAATCAAGTATCAGACTCTAGAATGAACTCTGAACCTTGATCCTTCCTTCTTTATCCCTGCTCCCATACTAACCCACTCTTGGCTAAAGAGAGAATCACCCATGTACCCAGAAGACTCTTTCTAGTTGACCTACATGCAACATGTATGTTTACAAAGACACCCAAGTAATTTGTTCTGGGACACCACCATTTGCTGGAGGCGGTCATCATTTTTGAGGACTGTTAGCTTATTTGTTGATTTTCTTTGCTGGTTCTTTAAATCGCATGGTTTTCATCAGCTAAAAGAATTCCTTTCTATTAAAAAAAAAAAGTCCTGTGATATTTTCATTCTCCACCCTATTCCCCAGAGGAATGAGTCTACAGTCACTCTGAGGAGTAAAATTTATGGCTTATTTATACACTTGGGCACCAATGGACATGCTTGGGCAGCCCTTGGTCACTTCTGGCACCTCTGTCTGCTCCTTCACCCGCTGAGAGGGAACTGGAGAGCTACCTCGAAACCTGTGGGGGAAACACACCTGGAAGTTGGGCTGCTCTCTGCAGAACACCATGACATATTTATATGTTTAATTCCATCATAGGTTTCAGGAACAATTTTACTAGCAGTAAAATAGGATGATGTTATATGTATGCATTATAAAATCAAGTCCAAGACCACACATGTCCATGGAGAAACATGCTATTGAAGCAGACATGATAAGCTATGTCTGAATTTTTCCATTAATGCTATTCCACTTCATTTTTTTTCTTCATCTAGGGCTCAGTAAGAGAGCTAAGTAGTTGCCAAAACCTGAAGAAATTTTATAAGCAAAAAACATTGAAGTTGAGAAAATAATCCATTAGCTGTAATTTTTTTTAATTTTTACAAGTTGGGAAAAGATGGTCATCATTTTGTTTTGAGGGAGAGACTGAGTATAACAGAGTCTGTGGCTGAGCCTATAGATGGAGTCTAGAATATAGGCTGCCAAGGCCTGGCCTCTCCCAAGATCACTCCTCCACCCTACATGGCACCCTTCTGAAATGTAAAGTCCAAGGCAGGGAACTCTGAACTCCCAGCTCAGTGAAATAAAGGAGAACCTGAAGATCACGAGAGGTCTGTTCCCTCTAATACAACTGTCCCCCATGACAAGGGTCCAGGGGTTACCTGCAGTGTAGGACAAGATTCCCCTAATGGGGTAACCCTTGGAGTTGAGAGATGGACTATGAATCCTACAAATATATATGAAAGGACAGGTCTTGTTCTCTTCCCAAACTCCACCTTAGGCTCTAAATCTCATCAGTTGACCTAGAGAAATTCAACTTTGTTTCTGAATCTTTGGCAGTGTCCATGAAAGATTCTCAGCTGGTCCCATAATCTGCTTTTGACCTTAAGAGTCTCTGTGCTCAACTTCCAATGGCAACATGTTATGGAAGAAAGCAGGTTGACCCCATCTGTTCCACCTTCCACACTCACAGCCCCTGAACACGCACTTGGATTTGTTTCTATCACACACACCCACACACAGACCTGGCATTGCTTCCAGTCTGTGACCCACCATGCCCAAGGCTGCCACTTTCCTGAGCATTCATGAGCATGTCATGAAAGTCTGACCTGGATGATTTTAATTTACATTCAGACTTTCAAAGTAACTAAGCTACACTCTCTGCCCTTTGGATTCAGTAAGGTGGGTCAATGCTAAGCAATGCTAAGTCAGAGACACATGGTTTGAGTCAAAGCATACCATTTAGTCTCCTCATTTCTTTTTGTTAGTGGTTATCTTGGCTCATTTGTACATAAAACACACAGAGAAAGCTGTAAGGAAATATACAGACATGTTACCAATTATCTCTGACTAGTGAGATTAGACACGTTTGTTTTAATTCAGGTAACACTGGGTTACAATGTTGTGTATGATTTAGAGGTATCCGGTCATATACTTCAGATGTATGTCACCACATCACACCTACCACCCAGCCACCCATTGTCCCCCACCAGAATCTACCATACACCCTCCTCACTCTGCTCTCCCATAACTTAATTGTCTCCTAAATTTAAATTGTCTTCTTCACACTATTTCCCACCCCACAAATTTTCTACAATATTACTATTATAATCATGAAAACAAATTTTATCACGTTTTTGTTCTTTGAGTCGTGGGGGGAGACAATAATAATGAAAACAATTGACTTACTGTGGAACAGAACCAACATTGTTTTTAAAGACAAATAAAACCCAGCATTTTACCTTTAGCTCTCACTTCATCATTACTCCTGAAGTCAATCCAAAGCTCATTCTTCATCACGTGTGTGTGGCCAGTCTGCCTACTTGGGATCAGTTAGGTGCAAGGACACCAAGGGGCCCCTGCCCTTGATCAGGACATTTGCTCCTGAGAGACAGGCAAAGACCACCTGCACAAAGGATGAGTCTCAGGTGTTCTCTGTACATGAGCCCACTGACTCATGGCGGTTTCAGGCCAGGTAGGATATGGGAGTGGCAGGGCTGGACAGCAAAGCTAAACAATTTGAACCCAGTTCACTGGGAATCCCCTGGCAGGTTTTCAGTTGGGAATGATGTGCCCACTCTGTGTTTTGAGAGGAATCCTCTAGGAGAACCAGGTAGCATTTCTAGGAAGCAAGGGGTCCCAGGTGAAAGAAGGTGAGGGCCCCCAGTGAGGTAGGGGCATGGGATAGAGGAAGGGAGAGAGATGGTTTGAGGACCTTCTAACGGTCCAGGTGAATAAAGCATGTGGGAGGGGAAAAGGGGATACCCTGACCCCAGTGGGGAAAAGATCTGGTACTGTGTGTACAGGGGTTGGGACACAGCATAAAGTTAAGCCCAGACGCTTGCTGTCTGGGGAAGTCTTTTCACTGTCGAACCATGTTCCATCCCTGATCTTCAGACTTACTATCCTTAAAAAATGTTCTCTACACATGAGCTCTTAATTCTGGTTGAACCCATAAAAAGTGGAAGCCTCCCTACTCCAGGCATTTTTACCTTAACAGAACAAAGACAGGGGACCACTCACCTCTTTTCGTGTCAACAGCAGACACAGCCTGAATCAGAAGAGGAGCATTTGACTCTGAGTACTCCACAAACACGAGCAGCAGCTTCAGGGCTGTCTTCACCACCAGGCGGAACTGTGGAGACAAGAGAAAACCATCACGTAGCTGCAGACACGAGCGTGCCTGAAGCCTCGTCCTCTTCACTGCAGCTGGCTCTGGCCAGGCGCTCTTCCCAGCAACCACACAGATTCCCTCCTAGGGTGCCTCGGAAGCAGATTTTAATACGCTCCCCACTGCACAGAGCAGACACCTATGGCACAGAGTAACCCAGGATCACACAGCCAGAACTAGAAGCAGGCTTCTTTTGAACCCAGGGCCTCTGGTTCTACAGCTCTCACTCTGGTGGCTGGTCAACAAGTGAGGCAGCATGTACCCAGTTAGTTGCATGTTACCTAGACTCCAACCTGATGGTGAGGATCATAATCCTCGCTTCTAGGAGGAAGCCACAGAGCAAGTTCAATGACTTGCCCACGTTCACGACGGCTCGTCTAAGTAAGCAGGAATCTCAGCTAAGGCTTGGGCTTAAGACTGAGCAGCCTGGAGCCCAAACCTCGCATGCACTGGGTCCAGGTGCAGGCTTTGTGAGGAACCATGCACTCCAGGGGTCCTGCTGTGACGCAGGTCACAGGTTACCCGCACCAAGGAATTCCCAAACCTCCCCACTCTAGTGCAGCCAACCCTGTGGCTGCTGCAGGCCGGGCCCTCCCTGTCCCCCGGCTGCTGCTAGAGCCCTTCATCCATAGTCTCCCCCCCCTGGACTCCTCTTCTTTCCAGGAAACTCCCCCTCAAGGAATTCACCCACCACTACCTCCTGAAAATGTATTCAAATACTGCTTCCAAGAAATAGCAAGCCTGCCTTGGGATGTTCCGCCAGCACACCCCAATCCAATAATGTGCTTGTCAGTGTCAAGCTCTCCAACAGGCAGGCGCGGAGGCAATTTCCAGGGGAGAGCGAGCTCATTTGCAATGTGTCTGCAGGACCGGGAATGGCACTTGGCAGAGCGGGCTTTGGACATTGCATCACTGGGCAAACGAGGCAGTTCATGAGCTGGCCACTGAGCCTGCTTGGTTGTGTGCTCGAGGCTGGCACCCCTCTTCTAATGCAGGCCGGCTGCTGCCTGATGCACTGAAGGCCCCATCATAGCTGAGAAGACTCAGCTGCAGTTTGCTCTGCAGTCCAAGGGAGACCCAGGGCCTCCTGGAGGCACCTGCTCACAGCGAATAGCCGGGGCTCGCATAGACCTCACTCCTAAAGGAACAACTTGAATTCCACACATGCCCAGTCATTTCTCCAAAAGCATGCAAACACCTCAAGCCTTTTTGCCTGTCCCTGCCCAGCTTTCCTGGTACATCGTGTCATTCCCTTGATTGCACATTTCTCTGCCCGTGTCCTGAGCATTCTTCATAGGAGAACTTCTTAAATAAGTTGCCACTATACCTGGCTGGAGTTACTTGCATTGGTTCTTCGACCATTATGCAAATTAAGTCACTCTTGTCAAGGTATCCAAAGGCCTCCACATTGTTAAACCCAGCAGTTACTTTTCTGGGTCCTTTCAGCTCAACTCTCAACAGCAGGTGCACAGTCAGTTGCTCCAGGAAGACATTATTCTGTCTCCCCATGTCTGACCCGCCTGCCGCCTGCGAGGCCGTATCCTTTTGCTTCTTTCTTCTAGGGAGTCAACTTCTCGGTGGGTGTGGGGAGACCTTCAGAGTTCACTCCTGGGCACTCGTCTCTTCTCTTTCCACATACTATGTCTCGTCTCTCTTGGCTTCAAATTCCATTTATGACTCAATACTAACTGTTGCTCTCCAGAGCTGACCAAAATCCTGGGCCAGGTGTTTGCACAACAAGCTGACGTCTCCACTTTAGATAATAATAGGCAGCCCCAATTCAACGTGACCAAGAGAACTCCAGGTTTTCACCCATCCTCCCTCTATCCCACCACCCACTCCCAACTTGTCAGTGCCAGCCCCTTCTCAGTACCAGGCTCACCATCCACAAGTGGTGCCAGCAACCCCCTTCCTACACACCCCCCCCCACCACAGCCAATTACCACCGTGATAGCGTCCTTTAAGAGCTATCCTGAGTCTATCTGCTTTCCAGGTCCGTCCTGGACACCATAACAGCCTCCTAAGTACTTCTGTTCCCCTAAAATCTAGTCTCCAATTTGCTGCTAGAGGGCCCCTGTGCCCTCACACCCCCAAACCTCCTCACTCCTGCAGGGTGAAGCCCACCCTGCAGGCACCATGCCTCAGTCTCTGCCAAGCAGCCTACCCACCTCTCCTGTCATTTTCCTTCCCACCCAGTGTTCTCCACCCACCTGCCTCTCAGTGGTCGCCTGGCTATGTGTTTTTAACATACCAGAGCTTATTTGTGGTCCTGAGTCTTTCCGTTAGCTATTCCCTAACCAGACATCCTAGTACCTGCCTTTTCTTATCCTCTGGTCTGAGAAACTTCCCCTCATGGGAAATGCTTTTCTGAAGACTTCCTCTGAAGGAGCCCTGGGTCACTCTCACTTCACTCACTCTCTATTTCCTTCCCATCCGTTATGCTGCAATTGCTACATGCACATTTGTCCAGATGGTATTCCTCTGAAGCCCTGACCAGAAAATAAGCTAGTTGGTGGCAGAGACAGTCTCTGGAGATGTTCATTCAGAATTACACAGGGGTCAGGATGGCAGGTACCCCCCACTGAGTCTGGCTCTTCAAAGCCCTCCCCACCATAGTGTGTGGAGCAAGTCACCTGGGCCCACCTCCCCAGCTTCCATGTCCCACTCGTCACCCTCCTCAGTATAGCTGAGCCCCTGCACAACCGTGGGGAGGACAGGCATTGCCCCGGGCTCCACTCGCAAGGTCATGTCCTAACCACACAGGGCGACGAGTCTCAAGAGAGCTTTGACCACCAAGTTGAAGACAGTATTTTCACCTTTATCGCTAGAGTCCCACTTCGCCTGTCTGCTCGCAGCCTAGGAATAGACTAAATTCCAGAGTATTTTTCTCAACAACTACAAGGTTGAGGGCAGAAGGGGAAGGTATGGCATAATGAGCTGTGCTATCTTTGTATGTGTGAGCTGAAGACATTTCTTCAAGTAAATAAAACAACCAAGCAAGTCCAGGCTTGGTGACTTCCTCAGCAGAAGGACTATCATTATGTGGTTTGAACCTCCTAAATGCCTTCTTGGGAAAGAACCTGGCTGCTGGCCAACCCCTCCCCACCCCCAGCTGGTCTCAGCAGGACCCCCTCTGCCCAAACATCAAGCTTCCTTCTGTGCATCTCTGTGGTCCCAGAATCTCAGCCAGCATGGTCCCAGGAAACCAGAGCCCTCAACCACCCACCCCTACGTGGCTCTCTGCTTAAGAAACCATTGTTTTCTAGCAGTCTTTTTCTATTGCTCTCAACATGCTTATCCACATCATCTTCCTCTGATATATAATCTGTTTAGACCACTCTCCACACTGCAATTTTATTTTTAAACCCCCCCCAACTCTCCTGATTCATGATTTTAGCTTTCTATGAACTTGGATCCTACTGAGTCTGTTTATGCTTATGAACATTTGGAGCCCTCCTTTTAAAAATTAATAACAAACTTACTAGATAAACTACTTTGGAAAAACAAAAGACACCAGCACAATAATTTTCTGAAAATGCCTGGTACTAATTGCAAACATGTCCTAACTAATCAAAATATGTCCAGCAGGATTCCTTGTCGAAATACCTTGTTAGCTTCACTGCATAGACTTGAAAGTAATAAACAGCCATAAGAGCATTCTACGAACACTCAGCTATCCAGAATCCACTGGCTCGGATGACCTCAAGTATCTGGAACGCTGCGAAAACCCACCGAGACTTTGGAAACACCACTGTGGAAGCCACATCTCCATTCCTCCACGTGCACACACGCTGCTCATCTCAAAGCTATTAAAAAAAAAACCACTGTTGGTGCCATGTGGATTCAGGTGCATGCTAACCAGGTTGACTACTGAGATTCCCACATCCACTGAGAAGGGGCAAACCGGAGGCCAGTGAGAGGTCAGGACGTGGAAGAGCATGGGTGGGGTGGGCTCAGGGGCCCACCCAGCACACCGGACAGCACCACTGCACGGCTCAGGGCTGGCACCTCCTCAGAGGGACACGGCAGCGGCGTCCCAATCAGGCTGGGCTCAGGCTGCCCAGATGCCTTCATGTTCTAACGAAGAGTTTCACTGCAGTGGCATACAGGTTCAAACACCTGCTCATCTTCCCAGCAGCGAGGGAAAATCAGTAAGAATTGATTCTCATTTGTATGGCTCGTGGATCACATAGAAAGATAAAGCAACCAGTTGCTGAATACTTAAAAGCCTCCAGGGCAACATGGAGACTCAGTCTCAGGGGCACTAGCCAAGGACAGCAGGCTGACACGTGCGGGGTCTCAGTGGCCACTTGCTCAGGCGGCTGCAGAAGGAACTCAACACCTGGATGGGCATGGGCGGGTCAGCTCTATTTATAGTTGTTCCTAATCAATGCTCTGATTCTACTTTGAACGCTGTCTTGAGGACTTTCAAGGTATCTAGCACCTGCAAGGTTCTGAGATGGAGTAAAGAAGCCCTGCCCTGCCTCCAAGAGATGGTTTTCTCGCTTTAGAGAAGGCCTGGGACATCACCACACCACATGCCTGAGAGCTTCTCCCACACCAGAGGCCCACAGAGTCCAGGACCTGAGAGAGAGAGCACTCCCTAGAGGACCACCCATCTAACGGGCAGAACTGGTGGTCAGATGGCTCAGGGCTAAGCCAGGCAGCCCTCCTGGGCTGTCGGGAGCAGAGCCCTATAATAGTCTTGGAGTACCTGCTCACGCAAACAATCCCACTTCTGCAGGGCTCAAGGACACAGGCTGAGCACAGGAGTAGGAGGTGGAGGGGCTCTCGATTCAGCCTTTGGTCTAACTCTCACCTGCCATTTCTGTAATTACACTCTAGGGGAGGCATTCTATTTTAACACTGTCTGTTATAATTATGTGCTGCATTAAAGTGCACAGGTAAATCACAGTACACGCCAGGAACCAGAGATAACTCCTGCATGAGAGGAGGACACATAG